GTCGCCACGCTCGACGCCCGGCCCGTCGAGTGCAGGACCGCGAAGGAGCTCGCCCGCCAGCCGGACCTCACCCGCCCTGGCGCGGTGCCGTGCTACCTGGTGCCGCCCGCGGCCACGCGCTTCGAGGAGGAGGGAGGAAGAGGAGGAGGAGGAGGAGGAGGAGGAGGAGGAGGAGGAGGAGGAGGAGGAGGAGGAGGAGGAGGGAGGAGGAGGAGGGCTGATTCGAGGCCTCCCACCAGATGGGGCCGCATCGCCGCATCGCCGATGCATCGACGATGCGGCTCGATGTGGAGACCGTGTTTCCCCACAACGACGTCGCCGATGCATCGCTGACGCCGCCGCAGATGCATCGCCGCTGCATCGTCGATGCATCGGCGATGCGGCGCGGTTCTTCGACCCCATCTACTCGGACCTCATCTGGGAGGCCTCCGCTGATCGGGGTTGGGGGGCGGTCATGGTCCATCTGGAGGAGGGGGCGGGCAACATCTTGGCACCGGTCGGACGCGTGCCTTTTTTTGTTGTTTCTTTTCTCGGCGTGGACTATCGAGGAGCACATCCTGGATCCTCTGGCAAAAAATGCACGAAGCCGAGCGGACGTCCGAGCGATGGCGAGGGGTTGGGGTGGGGGCGGTCAGGGTTGGGTTAAGGCGGGCGTGTCCCTCTACAGGGGGGATACTCAAAAACACTTGAAAATAAACAGTCTGGAGACGATTTCTGGGCTACTTTTAGCCATTTTGGGAGCATTCGGGGTGTATTTCTTATTTTTTCGTCCAAGATCCCCCTGTAGGGGGACACGCCCGACCTAACCTTTGGGGGAGAGGGGGCGGGCAGAGCGACCGGGGTCGTTCCCGGGGAGCGGTCAAGAGCCACCCATGGGGAGGGGGCGAGCAGGACGCGTCGAGCGGGGGGAAATCAGAGCGTGAATTACCTACCCCGCTTTCGCTTCCAGGCAAAACCAAGCCATACCACGCGCCTCTTCGTCAAGCGGCGAGAGCAGTACAGGCTGCAATTTGGCATCGTTTGGTATCTCTTGGAAGCGAGGGTGGTCAAAAGCGAGGTAGGTTTGTTTTCCCCCTAGGAAAAGGAGCTCTCTCGGGCAGGAGTTGGGAGGGAATCGCGCTGCGCCCTGTCCTTCGTGGGCCCTGGAAACGACAGGGCCGCTTTTTGTTTCCGGTTCCGCTTTGCCGTTTTTTTGCCGGTTCCGACGCCGTTATTTTACCGGTTCCGTCGCCGTTTTTTGTCCGGTTCCGGCTCCGGTTCTAATCCTGGAGCCGTTTTTTTGCCGTTTCTGGTCGCCGTTTTTTGCCGTTTCCATTTTCAAGGGACATTGTTTTTTGGAAAGGGTGAAGAAGCGGCCCTGCCGTTTCCGGGGCCCACAAAGGCCCTGTCAGGCGATCGCAGACATGGATCAAGGGGGCGGGGACTAGCGACGGGCGGTCATTGCCCGTCCCGATCGGGATGGTCTCGGGGTCCGAGGGAAGGGTCGGTCCAGATCCGGGCGGTGGCTCTCGTCCTGATCATTTCTGGCCCAAGGAAGGTTTTTTTTGTTCGCAAAAGCGTCTGGCTCGAGCTATGAGGAGTGCTCCTTACGATCGCTTACAGGATGTCACTGATGTTCCGATTGCGGACTCAATTTGGGCATTGCGGGACTATCGGTTGTTGTGGGCGACAAATGTGGCAGTCTTCTGTGGAAAGATCATGATGAAGATGGCCAGCTTGCTATGGCTCTACGAGCACACTCATTCCAACATGGTGTTGGGAGGGCTCGGCGTCATTGGCTTGGTGACGCAGCTGCCTTCGATATTGTTCGGGGGTGTTCTTGCGGACGAGATGGACCGCCGCATGTTGGTCTCGTACATGCAAGCGGTGGCTGCAGGGACGTGCGCAGCAGTTTGGTCTCTAGATTCCTTTGGGTTGCTTGCGCCATGGCATATTTATTGAACTGCTTCGCTCATTCCGCCGGCCCATATTGTTTGATGGTTCTCAGGGGCAACGGTAGGGGGGGATAGGCATAGGGGGGGATACACCGATCCCCAATCGCCCGATAGCCCCAACTTGCCCAGGAAGGTGCAGATTCACTATCGGACGCCTACCGCCGATCTGTCGACGATGTATCACCGGTTCCAGGTCGATGCATCCCCCCCTATGCCTATCTCTCCCTATCGTTGCCCCTCAGGCTCTCCGTTCCCCGTGTGTGCGTTGTCAAGGAGGTTCTGTTGAGTGGCGGTTGTTCTCTGGCGCGGTGCGTGGGAAGCGTTCGAGCTGAAGCGGTTGTTGTTGAGCTGCCTCTGGGGGGGGGTCGTTGCGGGCCTCTGTGGTGCATGAGGCATGTAGGTGTTTAGCTCGGGCCGGTGTGGGGAATGTCCTCTGTGGATGTTCGGTTTGGAGTCAGTCTGAAAATTTGAGTCTCTCGGTGCAAACTGTGTATCCTGCTTTCGGGTGGGAGGCCTCGCGGGGGTCTCTTGGAGGTATTTCTGAAACCTCATGCGGCCTCGCGGGGGCCTCTCGGGGGTCTCTTAGGGCCTAGGGGCCTCTTGGGGGGGCTCTTGGGGCCTCCCGGGGGCCTCTTCGGGCAAAGAGTTCGAAATGGCCGCTCGGGTCCCCCGTCTTGGGCCCTCTCTTGGAGCCGTCTTGGGGGCTTCTTAGGCCGTCTTCGCGGCCTCTTGGGCAGTCTTGGGGCTCTTTGGGGCTGTTGGGGGGCTGTTTCGGGCCCTCTTTGAGATCCTTGGGCCGTCTCGGAGCGCTCTTGCGGGCCTCGTGGGCCGCGTTGGAGCGTCGGGAAGCTGAAGAGGCGAAACCGCAAAAATCATTCTAACACCAATGGCAAATCCATGAGTTTTGCCTCTTGGGTCTCTTTTCTGGGAGCCTCTCAGAGCGTCTTGGAGACCTCGTGGGCCATCTGGAGGCCATCTTGGCTTCTAGGAGCGATCTTGTGGCGTCTCGGGGCTCCTCTTGGACCACCTCGACGGCTTCTCGGGGGTCTCTTGGCTCTTCTTGGGGCTCTCTGGGGGGCCCCGAGGGCGGCGCCCAGGAGCACCATCTCTGGTGGGACCTTGACAGGGACCTGCCCAGGGTACGTTTCGCTTGGGGCCCTTCGTGGCCGCCCCGCGCGCGCGAACTGTCTGTATACAGTTATCTATACTAAATTTATATATATATATATATATATATATATATATATATACATATATATATATATATATATATGTCGATATAAATATAGAAACATCGTTTGCCTGTTACCAGGGATCTTAGCACGCCTCTGGCCCGTTCGGCCAGCGAATTCAACCGCTTGGCGCACTCCGCCGGCCCGTATTGTATCATCGCTGCCATTCGCCAACAAGTTCGCATTTGATGTCGCGTGAAGCTCGCGCGGAGGAGGCACTCGCTTGGTATGGAGGGCAACGACCAACTGAACATCCCCCGTCCAAGTTTCGTCATTGAAGCCCGAAGACACGAGATTGCAATCCACACATTGGTAAAGTCACACACCTATATATATGTATATATATATGTATGTATGTATGTATGTATATATATATATGTATGTATGTATGTGTATATATATATATATGTTTGCCAGTAGGGAGCCTCCCTGAGGCTTTGTGACTGCTCCCCCTGATGTCCCAGGGGCCTCCGATACCGTCTTGCGGCTCTTCGTCGGGTCTCCTCGGCGCGTCTCCTCGTCATCGGGTCTCTTCGTCGGGTCTTGCGGTTCCTTCGTCTTGCGGTTCCTTCGTCCGAGGAGAGCCCGCCCTCGGCGCTCCCACCGAAGAGAGTTCGAAGCCGAGCGGCGGGCCGTTCGAGCATCGAGGCGCGGGCAGGCACGGGCAGCGGGGGCTTCCCCGGGGTCTCCGTGGGGGCCTTTTGGGGGGCTTCTGGGGCCCCCGTGGGCGTCCTGGAGCCGTCGAGGGTGTTTTTTTTTTTTGTGTGTGTGTGTGTGTGTGTGTGGGTGGGTGTGTGGGTGGGTGGGTATGTGTGTGTGTGTGTGTGCGTGTGTGCGTGTGTGCGTGTGTGCGAGTTCGGAGCCTCCTGGAGCGTCCTGGGGCCTCCGAGGGCGCGTCCTGGGGCTTCCTCCGGGGGCATCTTGGAGCCTCCTGAAGCTTCCTGGGACTTCTGCGGAGCTTCCCGGGTCCTCCTGCTGGGGATGTCCCGGACAAGTGGGCTAATCTGTGAAAGCTCCAGGCAACCATGAGGATCGGACGAGGAGAAGGGTTTTGTCATCCTCCTCTCTCCTTCTCCTCCCCTTCCTCTTCCTCTTCCTCTTCCCACCTCGTCGTCCTCATCATCCTCTTCTTGATGTTCATCCTCCTGGTGCTGTCCTCCTCTGCTGTCTCCCCCGTCTTCTCCTTCTCATCCGCCTCTGTTTCGCACTCCGACCGCGGTCCGAATGCTATCAGAACGCGGCTTCTAGAGCAGCCTCCTCCCTCTCCTCTCCTTTCTCACTGCTTTCTCCCATCGATCACGCGGGGGCTCCCCTGCGGAACCGCGCGGCCCTGTTATGGTTCTCTTGGGTCCTTTTGGAGCCCTCTTTCTTGGGCCCACCTCGTAGCTTGAGAATCCCAGCGTAGCGCGTTCTGTGAAGGAAACAAGCCCAGTTTCAAGTACGCCTCTCTGATTTAGATGTTGCTTGGGGGCCTCGGAGGTGGCGCATCTTCGGCCATCGTGGGCTACCCGTGCAATCCGTTGGGGAATGTTGGGGAGCTTTGGAGTACCTTGTGCCATCAGGGGGCGTCTTTTGCACCGCCTTGGATACATCTTCGAGCTTCTCACTGGTTGGCCTCCGCTCTTTGGCCCCGTTTGTGGTTTCTTGGGTCCCTCTTACGGCTCTCTTTGGCAATCTTGGAGCGTCCTTGGGCTGGAGCGTCCTTGGGCACCTTTCCGGGTTGGAGAAGCCCAGTGGAGCCTGCCAATGAATGCCAACAGCGTTTCGCAAAGAATTGTTCGCCAGTGTTGGTCTGCCTGAGGGTTCCCGCAGGATGCTGACTCGACCGTATTCAACAAACATTGGAGTCATTTGGCCTGTTTGGGATCATTTTGGGCCGTCTTTCAACCATCTTGGGGCGTCTTGAGTTTGTCTTGGGCCATCCTGGAGCTTCACTCCGATTCAACATCGTGCTTTGCCGCTCTGGGACCCTCGTCAAGCCCTATGGCGCACCTGCGGGATCGCGAGGCCCTCTCCCGGCTCTGAGGCACCTCTTGGAGCTCTACTGAGGCGGTTGAAAGTTTCTAGGCGCGGTTTGCAGGCCTCGTAACACGGGTTGGAGGCGTGTTGGATGCTCGAGCGCGGGCCGATGCCATTTCACAAGGGATCGGTGGTCTGGGGCACCCAGGGGCGGGAGAACCAGATACATCTCACCATCTCGGCGGAAGCGGAAATCACATTAATAGCAATTCTCCCATGCCATTTCGCCGATATCATCTCATCTCATATCTTACCATATCATACTATGCTACATCATAGCATACTTAGCAGGTCATACGGTATCATATCATATCATATCGCATAACAACACTTCATAACATATCACATAAGTTCACATCATACCATATTCGATCATGCCATGCCATAACATTCATCTCATGTCATTTCATCTCATCTCATCTCATCTCATCTCATCGCATCTCATCTATATGACGCCCTTGGCCCGTTGGGCTGGCGAATTTCGCGATAGGGCTTCTCAACATCTCATCCCGCCTTGAGGCGAGTGCACGTAATGCGCTCACGCCGCTAGTTGTTCCGAGCAAGTTGCTGCAGGGGGCGATCTCCACCAACGTAGTGACAGACAATGCGGGCGAGCTTCTAGCTCCAGCAATATTTTGTGGAATTACCTTGGGACACTCGCTGCGTCCAGCCTTCGCGTTCGCGACATTTGTATATGCAGCGGCTGTAATGTTACCACTGCAGATCCAGACTGATTGCGGCCCACAGCGTCTGGAAAGTGACGCAGTGCCTTCGGGCTGTCTCGCAGCAGCGAGATCGAAGATGAGGAGCTGTGCTGAGGGATTACACTACATCCTTCATCACCCCCTGCTGCCTGGACTGTACGTTTTAGACTGGGGTATGACATTATTCACTTTCTATCGCGAACTGTTCCCTATCTTTGCCGCGACGTTGCTACAGCCAACCCCGAATTGGCTCAGCCTTCGTGCAATCGTATCACTGCTCACGGCACTGAATTACGCTGGCGGAATGTTCGGCAGTTTTATTACGTTCTGGATGAACGCGGACCAGTTCAAGGGGCGCCAAGTTCTAGGCGCCACTGTTTTATATGGTGCTTTCTGCGTAGCCTTCGGAACTTTGCCTGCATGGTGGCTTTCAGCTCTCGCAGTGTTTGGTGCAGGGGCCGCAGATGCGGTGGGAATGACTGTGCGGAAGACCATCGTCGGTGTGTCCACGCCGAAGCACTTGCAGGGGCGGGCATCTGCCGGACACTCATTCGCGGCCATGAGTGCGAACAGCTTGGGGCAGGTGTACGTGGCTGCTGCTTGCGCGATCCTCGGCGCAGGGCCGACCATGGTGCTGGGTGGATGCTTGACTTGGGTTGCCACTGCCGCGGCCGCCTGGCGCATTCCCGCCCTGCTCACACACCGCCTCGGAGAGGCGACGGATGAGCATCTGCCGCAGCCGCCCTCCCACGAGGGAGCGGCGTGAGCGGACGACCCGGTGCGCACGAGAGCACGCTGCTTGGCTGCTGGCCTGGGCCGTGCCCTGCAGCTGTGGCCGGCCCTCGCGACGCGCGCCGCGGCAGCGAGAGCCTGCCCTGCGGCCAGCCCCTGCCCGCGGCCCTCTCCGCCCCGGGCCACCCGCAGGAGCGCGAGGGGAGTCGTGTCCTTCGGCCTGGGGCCGGCCACGCGTCCTGCTTCGCGGACCAGGCTGAAGTCGGGCGTGCCCCTGCACAGGAGGAAGATTCAAAAACTGGCAGAAATAAGATGGGGACGACTGTTGGGCTGTTTTTCACTCTTTTTGAGCCTGCTTTTATCGGGGGTGGACAGAACCCCCAACAGTGACACGTCGATTAGTGAATTGTCCGTTTTCGGTTCTCGAGAGGGCGCCGTGGCCGCTATTTTCCAGGCTTGCGCCCGCCAGGTTTGGGCCTCAGGTCGTTTTCACTAAACCACGTTTTGCTAAAGGGAGGTCTGTCCATCCTCGATTTTAGTATTTTTGATCTGTCACCCTGGGCCTCTTGGGGGGCTCTTGGGGGCCCCTTGGGGCGGGAGGGGGGGTAGTCGATTGCAGCCACACCCTCGGAGGCCACGATCCTCGTGAGGGGTGGCGAAAAATAGCCTCCTCCCTGGGGATCGCCCGGGACCCGGCCGGGGATCAGCCGGGGTACTTTTCGTCCGGGGCCTTCCAGGGGCCGCCCCGCGCGCGCGAATTAGAAATATTGTTAAGTAGTTACCTGAGATCTAGCACGCCTTTGGCCCGTTGGGCCGGCGAATTTTTGCTCTGTCGCCCAAATCGGCCTGTAGGGGGACATGCCCGACCTAAGGGCAGTCGCGTCCTTCGGCCTGGGCGAGGGCCGGCCGCGCTCCTGAAGCTTCGCGGACCAGGCCAGAGCGCTCCGCCTCCTCCTCCTGCTGCTCCTCCTCCTCCTCCCCCTCCTCCTCTTGATTATCTTTCCTCCTCCTCCTCCTCTTGATTATCTTTCCTCCTCCTCCTCCTCCTCCTCCTCCTCCTCCTCCTCCTCCTCCTGCTCCTCCTCGTCCTCCTTTTGATTCTCTTTTCTCCTCCTCCTCCCCTCCTCCTCCTCCTCCTCCTCCTCCTGCCCTCCTCGTCCTCCTCTCCTCCCTCCTCTCCTCCTCCTCCTCCTCCTCCTGCTCCTCCTCGTCCTCCTTTTGATTTCTTTTTCTCCTCCTCCTCCTCCTCCTCCTCCTCCTCCTGCCCTCCTCGTCCTCCTCTTGATTCTCTTTCCTCCTCCTCCTCCTCCTCCTCCTCCTCCTGCTCCTCGTCCTCCTTTTGATTATCTTTTCTCCTCCTCCTCCTCCTCCGTAGCCATTTTGGTAGCCATTTTGGCTCAAGATGCCAGGTTCCACAGGGGAACAAGTGGATACCGCTAGTCCGCGGCTGGCAAGACCCTTGGCGGTCTGGCAGAATCTCTTCTTCTTCCTGTCGCTCGCCTCCACGGGTAAACGGAGGCGTTTCCCGTTCCTGTGCTGTCGAGCGGCGCTTGCGCCATGGGACTCCCCGACGCTGCCTCGCTCGCCATGGTGGCCAAGGAGCTCGACGATATGCCCACCTTTCCTGAAGATGACCATGCGGATGACCGTCAAGACCGTAGCTCGCCCGAGCACAAGTACCTGCGCACTGAGGACGGCAAGGGCAACAACTCAGGTGGCAAGGGTGTCGCTGGCATGGCCGCCCGCGCAGCTGGGGCGGTTGGCTCCGCTCTGTTCCGTGGTCGTGGTGATTCTCAGTGTACTCCTGGTGCTTCTCCTGCTGGTGCCCATCGGGACCCCGCCCAACATCTACCGCAGCAGCCCCAATATGACGATGACTATATCAGACACGTTGCAGCTAACGCAGTCGCTGAACAATTCGGAGAGCTGCGATCCGAACTGGAATCTCTGGTTGGATCTACCGTGGGAGCAACGGTGCAATCTTCAAACAAATCTATTCTTGACACGCTGGAATCGCTACGAGTACAGATCACCGCCCAGCCGAAAGAAATCGACCAGCAGATCATGGCCACAGTCCGCCCGCATATTGACTCCATTCACCGTGGCTTACAGTCCAAGATCGACGCTCTTGGCTCACATGTCAACACGCTCTCTATTGATGTGGAGAAGCACACTGCGGACCTCGCCAACCTGCGCCAGCAGATGGAGCAGCTCCGCAGCGAGCTCATGGTCGCCAAGCGCTCTGAGAAGGCTCCTACAGTGCCGCCCTCCTTCGATCGCGCTGAAGACCCCTCGATTGTCGTCGCAATGGCTACGAAGATGGTTGGGATCGACTCCGTGCGTGCATCACTTACCCCCTTATTGTCGGAGCTGGGCCTGGACGCTTCATCATACTCTATTAAGTCCGCTGGACCGATGCCAAGTAGAAGGTACCTGGTTTCTTTCAACGGCAGCGTGGGAATTGCTTCCAAATATGTCAACAAAGTCTTATCCAATCTCAGGCAGAATGATGAATGGCGTATCTTCGAAGCTGAGGTCTCTGGATCCACTCCTGCTCGTCTCCATCTTGGACCTGACAAAAATCCAAAGCAAATCAAAACGGAAATGGCACTCAGGAAGCTACGCACAGCCATGGCTGGCAAATACGACGGACGCTGGATGGTGGACAGGGAGCGTGGTGTCCTACGATGCGGGTGGACGCACATCCTCAAGCTCGCCGCCCAGCCTGACGACCAGCCCTTTGACATCCGCTACAACGACGAAGGCCTCAATGAAGTCGGCATTGCCAAGCACGAGGTCCGTGAGCTGGTCCAATCCACCATTGCACCACCGCCACCTCCACAGTGGTGCCTTTGACGGGATGCTACAGATGTTCAACCTTCCTCAAGCTAGAGATGGGGGCTCTGCTTTGAGATGCGCTACCTGGAATGCTCGTGCGCTCCTGCAGTACCAAGGCGCGAAGGCCATCCCCAAGTTACGATATTTACAGCAGATTCACTTGCAGTCCACGGTGCTGGCGATGCAAGAAGTTCATGCCGATCGTGTCCAACTGGAGCAGTTCGTGCTTCAGGCCCATGCTCATGCCGTAGTTCACGCCTCATTTTGTGCAGTTGATCAAGGGGGATCGGGTGCTGGAGGTGTCGCTACCATCCTTCCTCGTCTCGCTCTCGATGGAGCTACGTCCAGCTGTGCCACGCCGCTCATCCCAGGAAGGGTCCTACAAGCTGATGTGCATAGACGTGGCCTTCAGCTGACGCATTTTAATATCCACAACCACGGCCTCACGAGCACCCAGGTGGACATGGTCTGTGAGCAGATCGACAAGTATCGGGTCGCGGCGGCGTCCGACCCCACCCACCACCTGGTTATTGTGCAGGGCGACCTGAATTTTGGCCCCGACGAAGCTCTTGTGCTTCATCGCCCTCTCCCTGCGCGTGCCTCTGATCCTCGGAATCATCGTGCCCAAGCTGCTCGCTGGCTTCGCTCTCTGGGGGCTCTACTTGAAGTCTCCTCGTCGGCGGCCACACACTATACGAAGCACACCAACTCGGTGAGTTGTATCGACAGGTTCTTTTGCTCACTTCCTGGCTGGATGATGTGCCAAGTCCATGCTGAATCTACCACAGTTGGGGAGCCAGAGGCTTTGTCTCGTGCTCAAATATCTGACCATGCTGCGCTGGTGACAACGTTACGCCAGCGACATCATAGGCCTCGGGGTGAACAAGCTATCCCGCGGCACATCTTCCTAGACCCGCTCTTCAAGAAGCGTATCGAGGGGATGGTTGCTGATGGCCAGAACGCTATTGAGGCGCATGCTGGCTCTATTTATCAGGAGCATTTCAAAGAGATGCTCAAAGAAGCTGCGCGGGAGGTGCGTGACATGCTCTTCTCGCTGAAGGCGGAGAGTGATGAGACAGCGATCATCGTGGCCCGCAGCTGCGCTCGAGCTGTATGGAGGCAAGACGCTCCACTGGCTCGGCGACTTATTTCGACATCGCAGTGGGCATCAGACGCACTGCAAATTGAAGGCTCACAAGTTCGCCTTCGACACCCTGAATATTTTCATTCATGGTCAGACGGAGTCCACATGCGGCTTCTGGAAAAAGAACTGCAAGCCAATGCTGATCATGTTGCGGGTCTCTCTGTCTCTCATCGTCCTCCTTCCACCCGTCGTCGCCAACAGCTTCTGGAACGGAAGGCGACCATCTGGGCCCCCTTCTCTCGCCGTCTAATCCTGCAGAAGGTGCGGTCAGGGCCTGTCTTATCACATTCCCCTGAAGATCGTTTTCAAGCTTTGAGTACTCACTGGCGCCCCGTCTTCTCTCGAGGCTCTGTCCCAGCCCCCCGCATAGAGGCCTACCTCCAGGATCACCTGAATGTCCCCATCCACTGCGAAGTCCCACCTCCTACTAAAGCTGCTATACGTCGTGCTGTGCGAGGTGCACGACATTCTGCCCCAGGGGTGGACGGCATCCCATATGCAGCTTGGAATGCCTCTGAGTGCTGCGTCGACGTGCTGTGCAACACCCTCGACTGGGTGCTCGGTGGAGGGACTCTCTTCGATGCTGCGAGTGTCACGCTACAGGCCTTCTTGCCCAAAGGTTCGGAGGAGGAGGACGAAGCCTCTGGAGGCTGTACGCGGTCTGCTGACAAAATTCGGGTGCTGGGACTCCGAAGCACTGACCTGAAAATCATGACCTCTGTTGTCAATCGCTCGCTTCGGAAAGTGGTGGAGGAGGTTGTTCCCCGCCCGCAAAGAGGGTTTGTTGTCGGCCGTAACTTTGGTTACAATGTGATCGAACTCGACGGCATAGGAAGGCTAGCTGCGGCTCACCCTCGCTCTGACCTGTGCGACCCCCTCTTGATCTCGTTTGATTATGGCCAGGCGTTCCCCAGTCTCTCCCAAGAGTACCCGCTGATGCGGATGAATAAGCTTGGGCTCCCTGGGCCTCTCATGTGGTTCCTCTCGTGGCTGTACCTCGCTATCCAAGGAGTCGTGGCCCACGCTGGCCAGATCATCCCCATATACTGGCTGAGATCTGGGATTATTCAAGGATGCGGGCTCTCAGGGAGCCTATGCGCCCTCGGCACAGCCCCCTTTCTCTGTGAACTGGAAGATACTCTGGAGTCTCCTGGATATGGCATCGCTCGGGCGTGTGCTGATGATATTGGGGCGGTGGTATATGAAGCAAAGCACCTACAAGTCCTGTATGATGTGATGGTGGTCACTGAGTGTCTCACAGGGCTGAAGCTAAAACACATGAAGTGCAAAATTGTCCCGCTCAAGGCGGAGTTCTCCGAGCCCCTCCAGCACCACACTATGTCCCTCGTGGAGTGCCTTGTCCCTGCCTGGAGCGCCTTCGAAGTGACCTCCCAGATCCTCTACCTGGGCCTCCTGCTGGGCCCCGCCGTCACGGTTGACATGCAGTGGCTCGCCCCGCTGCAGAAGCTCAAATTGCGGGCCCGCCTGCTTGGGTCTGGGGCTGCCCCGGCTAGTATCAATGGTGTTCTGTACTCCTCCAGGGTGTTCTCTGTGGTCTCCTACGTGGCCCAATTCGTTCCGCTCCCTCAACGGCACGCGGCTATGGAACTGGGGATTCTGGCACAGGTCTTCAGAGCCCCTCTTGGCATGCTCACTTCGGCTGGTTGGGCCCAAATTGGCGAATGAGGAGGCCCTCGTATCCCACTGTTGCTCCACTCGTGCGCTGCTGCCTATGCTCGAGCCGCGCTAGTCACGTTCTCTAATCACACTACCATTCTTGAGCGCTTCCGACAACTGGAGTCCGAATGGAGACATTCCCTCATGGAAGGCCAATTTGATGATGCGCCACTGGCGGCGACACGGGTGCGTGGAGATGCACTTGACCATACGGGCACGCACTGGCAGTCCCCATCACTCCTGCTGGGTTTTGCGTCGGTTCTACAATCTGGCAGAGAGGCGGCTTATCCTCCCGAGATCAATGACACGTGCGTCCAGGCCATCGCCCAGGAGCTCCAAGTTAATGGCAGGAAGCCCAAGCCGCAACGTGCAGCCACACGAGCACTTCGGGAGATGCTGACAACGCCCTTCCCTCTTGCTTCGCTGGTGCAGCGACGGCTCTCGAAATATGTACATGAATGGGAGCCGTTCCTGGATCGAGTGGATTGGACAAAGATCGGTGATCTTCTCTCACTGGTACCCATGAGCTGGGCCATGCCGGTTATTAAAACTTATTGCTCTGGATGGCTCACCGCTACGCGAATAAAGTATGCTGGAGGCTCTCGCCCATGTATCTTTGGTTGTCGAGGCCATGCAGATCGACAGTACCATTACATGCGATGCCGTCCGCTTTGGACTGCGGTGTACCAAGCTTTGGGATATGAGATGCAGCCGCTCCTTCCTGACCGCCTGGGGCTTCGGCTCCCCGACCTCAAACACATTGAAACCTTGGCAGTTGCCTTCAACATCTACCACAATATGCGCTTTCGTCTATATGTCACTTCTAACGATCTTCGATCCAGCGCGAGAGCTGCTGTCAGAAACCTAAGGTTGGCCAAACCTGACGCTCAACTGCAAAAGAAATGGCAGCCCCCTGAGGCATTGACCCTCCACCGCCTACCTCAACAGTCGTCGACATCCTCGACCTCATCCAGTTCAGACGGGGATGACGACTCGCATTCTGAGCAACATGAAGATCCTTTTGATGATGATGGAATGGTCCCTGGCAGTCATGAGCACACCTCGAGGTACTTGAGCTTGGACAGCAAGCCCTGCGTCGACACTGATGGAGTTCGTTGCTCTGGCTCTGGCATGGGCAGGAATGATAATTTGCCACCATGCCTCACACCGCGGCTTGTCCCCACGGCCCACACCGATGATTGCAGCATCTCCTCTCCCTCCACACCTGGTACACCAGCGACCCTCATCGCGACGCCTCCCAGAGCCGAACACAGCGGTGACCACGACTACATCGAGCCCTCATTGCAAAGGAGGCTGGGTGCTGGCCACGTCAGAACGCCAAGTCCTGGCACTGGGTGCTCCTCGAGCCCAGATGTCCAGGCTCCTAGAGTAAATTGTGAAGAGTCGAAGAAGCTGGGCTCAGGAGCTGCGACTGCTGTTGTTAGAACGCAAAGTCCTGGCGGCGGGTGCTCCTCGAGCCCGTCGCGCCAGGCATCTGGAGTGAATTGCGAGGAGTGGTCTCACTGGTCGGCGGCTGACAGTACACTAAGCCAAATGCAGGGGTGCCCCTTGAACCATCGGCCGCAGGCTGCCGCGTATGGCTGTGTCTCCTCCATGATCGCGCGGCGCTCTCGACAAGGCTGTGTCCTGGCGACCTCTCCTGCTCATGCTGCTGTTCCCATGGCACCATGTACTCCCAGTGCGTCGTGCTCTCCGATGACCTCATCAGGACCCGCTTCGCGATCCTCTGGTACCCTGATGGCCAGCCCGTCGACCCAGAGTCTATCTCCTCATTCCCTGTGGTCCCCGCCGTGGATCCCACCCTGCTCTGAGTGCTCCCCTCCAAGGCCCTCCCGTCGCTGCATCTTCTCGACTGTCCCTGTGCCCTCTTTTGCCCCACACGCCCCGCCCTGTCCACCCACGCCAGATGCCACGCCTGCCATCCTGCCCGTTCTTCCTTCCTCGTCCCTTGTGACCTCCCTGCTGCTGCCCTCTGCCGTCTTTCCTCGCTTCTCTCCCCCGTTGTTTGATCTGCCACCGGCGTTTTCCCCGTCCCCTCCTCGGTCCGTCGCTCCGATGAGCTATGCTCCTGCTGTTGCGTGCCCCTTCCCCGCTTCTCCCCCCTCGTCGCTACCGACTGCGATTCGAGCGGCTGCGGCGTCCGATGCCGCTGTGCCCTCCCCTTAGAGTGGAGCTGAACCCCCCTGTACGCTGTCCTCCTCCTCCTCCTCCTCGTCCTCCTCTTGATTCTCTTTCCTCCTCCTCCTCCTCCTCCTCCTCCTCCTCCTCCTCCTCCTCCTCCTCGCGGACCAGGCCAGGGCGCGAGAGCGCGACGGCTCCCGCGCCTCGGGCCGCGCACGGCGCCGAGTTCAGCTGCCTTGGGCCGGCTCGCGGCCCTCTCTGGGCCGAGGGGCTCCCGGGCCAGAGGTCGGCTCCGCGAGCGGCGGGGTTCGGGCGGGCGTTGATCGGGTAGGGGGGGGACGAAGGCTTCTTAGAAACACCTCTGCTTTTTGGAAGGCGCGGGCCTTCTCTACAGATGTAAGGCTGACGCCTCCTACGAAGCAGCCTCCTTCTAAGAAACTTTCCCCCCTCTCGGGTATAGCCAGGGCCCCAGGTAAGGGGACTCGCTTGGTGGTAGGGCCCTGGAGCCCCTGAGTTGGTCAGAAGCACTAAGCCAGGTCTGCCGTAGCTGGTGTTTTTTCGAGTGGCGGCAGTTCCGGGCAGCGGAACGGGGCGGGGGGGGCATGCATGTAAGGATTAATGTGTGTACCTGTGTGTATATATACACACAAATTGGTATACACGTATGCACGTACACATACGTCCATATGCGTAGCTGAGGAGTTACGTATGCCTGCCAGTCTGTGTGTGCGTGTGTGTGTGTACCTTTTGTTTGTGTGTGCACTCATGGGACTCGGCAGGAGGACCAAGTCGCGCGGCGGACTCCAGATTCCTCGCAGGGCAGGGGCGGGAAGGCGAAGGAAGGGGAGAAGAAGACGGAGGAGGAGGAGGAGGAGGAGGAGGAGGAGGAGGAGGAGGAGGAGGAGGAGGAGGAGGAGGAGGAGGGGGAGGGGGAGGGGGGGGAGGGGGAGGGGGAGGAGGAGGGGATCGCAGGGACCCAGGGAGGCGAGGAAGAGGAGGGTGTTTAGGAGAGAAAGAGATTGAGAGAGAGAGAGGGGGAGGAGGCACAGGAGGGAGAGGAGGGAGATGGGGGTGAGAAGGAGAACGAGGAGGGTGAAGACGAGGAAGAGCGAGGATGCACACGAGAACGGCGGGAAGAGAGAGAGAGAGAGAGAGGGCGACCTGGCCAGCGGTGGGAAGAGGCGGAGGAGGATCAGGTAGCGGTGGAGGAGCAGCCTGCTCTCCTCTGCCGCTCGCGGCTCGGCAGCCCACGCGGACCCCAAGAGAGCCCCACGACGGCCGCCGAGAAGCCCCCAAGACGTCCCAAGAGGCCACCAAGAGGCCGCGAGGACGCAATCGGGGTGCCGCGGGTGGGGGGCGACCGCGGAGAACAATACGAGCGCGTACGCGTGCGCCTGTGTTAGCGTTTCACCGAATCGTTGGCCGCAGGGAGTTTTTCCGCGCCGCGCTCGCCGCGCGGGGCGCGCGGACGTCGGCGACATCGTAACAAGCCGCAGCCCCACATTTCTGCGCGTGGTTGTGAGGTATGCCTTGAACTGCCAGCGCCTTCTTGGAGACATGTCGACAAAAACAAAAAGAAAGAAGAGGCCGCGAGGACGCAACGTCGCTGATTTGCTCGGAATGCTAAACGGACTTTCGCGCGCTCGCTTCTCCCAAGACGGCCCCAGGGGCCTCCCAGACAGCCCGCAAACAGGCCAAGAGGACCACGTCCAGGGCCCTCGGTATCCGCTCATCGGCGTCTCCTCTGCCCTCTTGGAGCCATCTTCGACCTCATACGGAGCTCCACCGGTTCTGGTTGGCTTGGGTCAGGCCGGGGTTCTCTTTGGACCCTCTTGTCGCCGTCTTCGGGCCGGCTTCGAATCGCGGCGGCGAGCGAGGGGAGGAAATGAGAAGGAGAAGGCCTTCTCAGAAGGCGGCGGGACTTCTCAGAAGCCCTCGCGCCTTCTGAGAAGTTTCCTGTGTCTTCGGGGAAGGCTCAGAAAACTTCTCAGCAGGCTGGGGGGCCTCCGAGCCTTCTGAGAGGGCCTTCTCCTTCTCTCTAGGTCTCCCAGATGGGGTCCGAGCAGATGGGGTCGGAGGATCTCGCCGCATCGCCGATACATCGGCGATGCATCAGCGATGCGGCTCGATGCGGGGCCCAGTTCTCCACGCCGACGTCGCCGATGCGTCGCCGTCGTCGCCAGCGCATGGCCGATGCATCGGCCATGCGCTGGCGACGACGGAATGGGGAGAGAGAATGAAGAACAGAGACCGAGGGACACATGCACTGCTTCTGCAGCTGCTCGTGCCGTCTCGCGTTCTTGCCGCAGTGCTCACTGGGCGACGGCGGCGACGGCGACGTGCTCGGCGGCAGCAGCAGCAGCAGCAGCAGCAGCAGTGTCGTCTGTGTTGACAGTCAGGTCGCTGATGTGCGCTCCTTCGTCTCGAGCGCTGGCGAAGCGTCCTGGCTTGCCTGTAGGGCCACCGAAGAGTGTTCTGAGAATCCCTTTTTGGTCTGCACGAAGTGTTCTTAGAACATTTCTGGCTGGGGCTGTCTTGCTATAACACATCAGGTGTACAGTCTAAGAACATTGTTTTTGTTGTTCGAACCTTTTTCGGGGGGTCGAAGACCATGCCGTGATAGGCCTACAGGATTGCCAGACGGTCGGTCCCTGCTCAATCTTTGTGCGCTCGCAGGCGCTCATGCAGTCGTCCAACGAGCTGCTCTTCGTTCACTGGGCCGCGGAGGGCAATCCCAAGGCGGGCGTGGTGGCCTCACGGTTTCCATGGCCCCCCCCCCTCCCCCCCTCGTGTGTCGCCAGAGGTGCTCGTGGCCCTCGGTGCCCCAGGATACCCCAGGGAGGCTCCAGTGCCCCCCCAGAGCACCCCTCCACGAGGTCCTCAGGGCCCCAGGGGCACGAAGATGGTACGAACAGTTGGGGGCACCGCGGCTCGGTTGCAGCTCCTGCGAGGTTCAATCCGGCATCGGCTCTAGTTTCTCCGAGGTCAAAAACCGTCTTATTCTGGCCTGGCCACCCCTGAGCTGGAACCCGCCCAAGCTGGCTCAACCCTGGGCTTCATCTGGGTCGAGTCGGCCTGGTGGCCCGTAAACTTGTTTGATATCAAGTAAAACCAGGACGGGGCTAGGACGAGGATAAATCCGTTCCGGAGCGTTCCGGGTCGCTCGCAGAGCGTTTTGGAACGCTCCGAGAAGGCCGCGGCGCCCGAGACATCTTCTAGAACCGCTGGATCTCAGAGACCTCCGATTTATCCTCTTCCGATTTTATCTTCTTCCTGGCTTCGCTCCCGGGAGGCTTCCCAGGAGTTGCCTCTCAGTCTCGGGCCAGGAGCTATCTCTGGCATCCCCGACCCCTCCTATCCGCCCTGCCTCCCCCCCTGCCCGCTACACTCCCCCGCTCGGGCGGGAGCCCTCCATGGTCGCACCCCCCTCCTGGTCGAGAGTCCCCTGGTGTCGGGAACCCTCCAGTGAGGAGGGGGATGATGATGATGATGATGATGATGATGATGATGATGATGATGATGATGATGATGATGATGATGATGATGATGATGATGATGGATGATGATGATGATGATGATGGTGATGGTGATGGTGATGGTGATGGTGATGGTGATGGTGATGGTGATGGTGATGGTGATGGTGATGGTTGGTGATGGTGATGGTGATGCTGGTGATGCTGTGGTGATGATGCTGATGCTGATGCTGATGGTGATGGTGATGCTGGTGATGATGATGATGATGATGCTGATGCTGATGCTGATGCTGATGCTGATGCTGATGCTGATGCTGATGCTGATGCTGCTGATGCTGATGCTGATTGCTGATGCTGATGCTGATGCTGATGCGATGCTGATGCTGAGCTGCTGATGCTGATGCTGATGATGATGATGATGATGATGATGATGATGATGATGCGATGATGATGATGATGATGATGATGATGAGATGATGATGATGCTGATGATGATGATGATGAGATGCGATGCTGATGCTGATGCTGATGCATGATGCTGATGCTGATGCTGCGATGCTGATGCTGATGCTGATGATGATGCCTGATGATGCTGATGATGATGATGATGATGATGATGATGATGATGATGATGATGATGATGAATGATGATGATGATGATGATGATGATGATGATGATGATGATGATGATGATGATGATGATGATGCTGATGATGATGCTGATGCTGATGCTGATGCTGATGATGATACTGATACTGATACTGATGCTGAGGCTGAGGCTGAGGCTGAGGCTGAGGCTGAGGCTGAGGCTGAGGCTGAGGCTGAGGCTGAGGCTGAGGCTGAGGCTGAGGCTGAGGCTGAGGCTGAGGCTGAGGCTGAGGCTGAGGCTGAGGCTGAGGCTGAGGCTGAGGCTGAGGCTGAGGCTGAGGCTGAGGCTGAGGCTGAGGCTGAGGCTGAGGCAGGAGGAGGAGGAGCAGGAGCAGGAGCAGGAGCAGGAGCAGGAGCAGGAGCAGGAGCAGGAGCAGGAGCAGGAGCAGGAGCAGGAGCAGGAAGCAGGGAGCAGGGAGCAGGGAGCAGGGAGCAGGAGCAGGAGCAGGAGGAGGACTCCGTAGCCATCTTGGCTCATGCCATCCACCCGCGGATGAACGCTCTGTTGCTGAAGCTCGCTCGGCATGTCTGGCGGCGGCAGCAGCGGGGCGCCCTCTGGTGTGGAAGTGGCTGTACGGGATGGCGCGCCAAGGCGCGCCAAAGCGCCCCGCGGCCCAGCGGAGAGCGGGCCGCGGGTGGGCGAGGTGGTCTTCGGACGACGCCATCAAGAGCCTCTCCAGTAAACTGAACGGCACACGTGATCAGCTTTTTCATGCCTGACGCGTGCTGGAGCAGCTGGGCGATCCCGAGGTCGCCGACGGAGGGGCCCCCGGGAGGTCCAGGAATATCCCCAGATGTCGGCAGTCGCGCCGCCACCGTCGTCGAGGTCGTCGATCTTGGCCGCCGTCGTCGTCGTCGTCGTCGTCGTCGTCGTCGTCGTCGTCGTCGTCGTCGTCGTCGTCGTCGTCGTCGTCGTCGGCGTCGGCCGCGGCGGCCGCGGCGGCGGCGGCGGCGGCGGCGGCGGCGGCGGCGTCGGGCCGCGGCGGCGCACAGGGCCAGGACGACTCGCGCCAGGCCCACGCCGTGCTGGAGGTGGTGGCCGGCCACTGCACGGTGCGGGACGTGGCGCCGCCGCAGCTGAAGGACGCTCCCGGTGGCCATCGCCGCGCCCCCCGGCTGCGGCTCGCGCGAGGTGCGGGCGTCGGCTCGGAAGTTTCTGCAGCCTCCGAGCCCGCGGAAGCTGCTTGGGAAGCTCGCGAGCCCCCGTGGTGGTCGCCGCCAGCTGCGCCTCGCCGAGGGCCTCTCCAGGGGTGCCCGGATCGCCCCGGACGGCCGCTCGAGGCCCGAGGTTCGGGGTCGGACAGACCTCCTACCCTGACACGTCGATTAAGGAACTGGCCGTTTTCGGTTCGCGAGGGGGCCTCGCGGCCGTCATTTTTGCGGGTCCAGGTCCGTCGGTTGCGGTCCCAGGCGCTTTTCACTAAGGGGAGGTTTACTAAAGGGAGGTTTGTCCACCGCCGAGAGGTGCGGCCCGAGAAAAAGCACCAGGCGTCGGGGGCCCCCCAAAGGGTGCAGCACCGCTTGGCGAGTCAGTGGGGGTTCGGGGTCACCGCACGGTTCTGGGACTCGGCTCGTTCTCCGGGGACGCCCCGGGCGACCGGGGCCTCCAGGGTCCCAGCACCGTGCAGTGACGGGCCCTGCGGCGGGGTCTTGGGCCTTGGGGGATGTCAAAGTCACCGCACGGCCTGTCGCCGCACGGCCTGCCACCGCACGGGTTTGCGGTCCCCACGTCGGCGGCGGCGAGGCTCGCCAGGAAGCAAGCGGGTCCTTGAGGGTCTGCGGCGCTTTCTGCTCCTCGGGGGCCCTCCATGGGCCCCTGGCTGTCCGAGAACGGGCTCAGGATGGGGGGCCTGGTCCCGAGGGGGGGGGGCCCAGGGTCCACGACCCGATTCCCATACCGCACGCTGCCTGACATCCTCAGATGAGGCTCAGTTTCCTTAACAGCGTCCTTGCTAGAGGGTTCTCATAAAGCCGGGGGGGGGGGATCCCAGGGTCCACGACCCGTTCCCCTTGCCGCACGCTGCCTGACGTCCTCCGATGACGTGCGCCTCCCTCGCAGCGGCCTCGCCAGGGGGCTCCGCTGGAGAAAGACAGCGCAGAGGCGCCCCACAGGGGGCAGAGACGGGGAGTCTCGGGGCGGGCTACGCCCGGCTCCAGGCCGGAGTGCCCGGGCTTTTGTTTTGCAATCCTTTTTTGTTTTTTTGTTTTTTTACTCATTTTTTTGTTCTTGTTTTTGTTGTTTGCAATCCTTCGCTCCGCGCGGCGAGGACGGCGCACGCTGCGCGGCGCTGGAGGCGGAGGTGCTCGGCATCGTCCTGGAGGCCGGGGGCCCTGCCGCCTCGCCGTGTCGCGCCCGCGGTTTCGCATGCTGTCTGTCGTGTTGCCGCTCGTGTGCTCCTCCTGCTCCTCCTGCTCCTCCTCCTCCTCCTCCTCCTCCTCCTCCTCCTCCTCCTCCTCCTCCTCCTCCTCTTCCTGCTCCTGCCCCTCCTCCCCCTCCTCCTCCTCCTCCTCCTCCTCCTCCTCTCCTCCTCCTCCTCCTCTCCTCCTCATCCTCCCTCCTCTTCCTCCCTCCTCCTCCTCCTCCTCCTCCTCCTCCTCCTCCTCCTCTTGGGGTCGTCGTCATGGGACAAATCTCATGGCGCTGCGGGTCTGGGCCTGCGGCCGCAGCCAGGCCGCCTCTCGGCTCCCGGCGGCTGCGCCCAGGCGTTTTGGGCCTCCGCGCAGAGACCCGCACGCACTGGCCGCCTGCAGGAGGAGGAGGAGGAGGAGGAGGAGGAGGAGGAGGAGGAGGAGGAGGAGGAGCAGGAGCAGGAGCAGGAGCAGGAGCAGGAGCAGGAGCAGGAGCAGGAGCAGGAGCAGGAGCAGGAGGAGGAGCGGGAGAAGGAGCAGGAGCAGGAGGAGCAGGAGGCCGAGGAAGGCGGAGCTGCGGGGGAGGAGGTGATGTCGGTGAGGCAGGATCATCAGGCCCTGAGATCCTGGCGTCTCAACTTTTTCGAGCCGGGTGTTTTCGCCTCTTCGTCGGGCCCTGGGACCCTCACATATCGATCTGGCTCGGAAAATGACGCAGCAAGATGGGGGGCGTGATTCTTTACGATGTTGCATATGTTTCGTTACGTCGGATCTCAGGGGAGCACGAGCAACAAGGGGAACGGCATGAATGCCTGGAGCCTTGCAGGAGCGGCGGGTATCGACGGCAGTTCGCGCGCGCGCTGGATGTGCAGATCGGCAAGCGATAGGGAGGCGCTGCGAGGTGGGACGCGGCGGAAAGGGTAAGAATCACGGAAGGGCGATTCGTAACAGACAGGCACGACGAGAAAGCGAAGGCCGCAGCCGTCTTTGGCCCAGGCGTCCCCGCCGGCCTGCCTCAGCCAGCCTCCATCCAGGCCCGTCTCTGAGCGCGCGCTCGCGCCCACGCGCGCGCCAGCGGTGCGCGATGCCAGCGCCGCGCGAGCCCGAGGAGGAGGAGCCGTCGCCGGCCGCAACCCGGGGCGGATAGGCAGTCAGGGGGGAGTATTGCACAGGAGGCGGGGGGTGCAGCACTACGGGGGGGGGGGGGAGGGGAGCACCACGCGTGCACCTCCAGGGGCGCCCGGCGTCCACGCGTGCGGCGAGGCTCCTGGAGGGACGCGCGCGCAGCTTGGCCATCGCCAGTTGTGCGCCGGAGCAGTTCGCCAAGTAGGCGCCGCCATCGAGGAGCATCTTGGATCTGCTTGCCCCACCCCGAAAAAGCCCCCCCCAAACCAAACCAAGCATGCACGAAACCGACAAATTTGCACGGGGGGCGGACGTCCAAGCGATGGCACGGGAGGCTTCCGACCCCGGAGGATGCCTTATCCGATGAGCGCGGCGGCGAAGTCCACGGCCGAGCCCCGATATCGGAGTTCCGCCCGCCTCCAGACCCTGGAGTGCTTGTCCAACGACTCCTCCTCCTCCTCCTCCTCCTCCTCCTTCTCCTCC